TTCATCACAGGAGATACTGTGGAACCATAAAGACTTTGTAACATGGGAGTGACATGGTTAGGTCTGCATTTAGGAGTATTGTGGAGGAAGGGCTTTATGGCTACAAAAACAGCAGGGAGGCCAGCTTGAAGGAAACTAAAGTGGTTCCAAGTGAGAGATGGCCAAGTGCTGGGCTGCATCACTGGCATGGGATGGAGAGGAAAGGACAGATTTTAAAAGATTCAAATCAATAAGACCTGATGATTGAGTGACTAGGGTGTTGTGGGAAGAGAAGAAAGGTTAGGGTGACTCTCAGGTTTCTAGCTTGGGTGACAGAGGAAATGGAATGGAATGCTCCTCCTCAAAGCTTTGAGAATTGTCTTCATCAAATATTCACTGTCTGCAATCCTTTTTCTAAATTAAAAGAATATATATATATATATATATATATATATATATATATGAAAACCAAGTCTTTCATAACTCATTTGATGACAAAAACTATTTTGACCTGAACTTATGCAGAACTGACCTAAACTTACATGAGGTTATTTATAGTTTTAGTTTATCACACTTAGGTTTATTCCATAGCCTTATCCCAGTGTGACTTCATATATCTCATTACAGAAATATTAATTTGTTCGATTAGAGGGTACTGTCCCAGACTCCACTGGGACTGTTGCTTTATATTGTATATGCACCATATTACCTTTTTTAAGTCTAAAAAAATTCTAAAACACATTTGCTATCCAGATTTCTCACCCCATGTACTCATCTGTCTTGGCTTGAGTTCTTTTGGTTATTTGCATAAATCAGATCCACCTGCAGATAATGAATATTCATTGCAATATATGCTATAGAATTTGAAGATGATTCTCAAAGTGTTTTGAGCAGTGTCCTTATTTTTAAAACAATGCTAAAACCTTTGAGTGATTACTGTGAAGGGACAGAATTTATTTGGATGGTAAGGTGTGCTATGTTTATGGACAACCAGTCTCATTACTTGTACGCCTCATTTTTACATTTAGCAATCAGTGGTCAGTGATTTTCTGGAATTAGTTCCCAAGTCTGGAATTAGTTCCCCTGTTCTCTGGTCTTTAGTGAAAACCATAGTGAGCTCTGGATGGTGAGAATTTGGGGTCTGGTAGAAAATGAAGTGTGTGTGTGTGTGTGTGTGTGTGTGTGTGTACACAAAGTATTTATTTATTTTTAAGACTTTTATTGGGGAACTGGGGAGGTGGACAGTCTTGGGGAATTGGGGAAGGGGAACATTGTGTATTTCCAGGACCCATCAGCTCCGACTCAAGTTGTTGTCCTTCAATCTTAGTTGTGGAGGGCGCAAGCTCAACTCTAAGTCCAGTCGCTGTTTTCAGTCTAGTTGTGGGGGGGTGGGGGGTGGGGGTGGGAAGCGAGTAGTCCACCATCCCATGTGAGAGTGGAACTGGCAACCTTGTTGCATGCTGAACCATTCGGCAGCCTGTTGGCAGCTCACGGCTGCTGAGCTCAAGGTGCAGTGTTCAATCTTAGTAGCAGGGGGATGCAGCCCACTATCCCATACTGGTGTCTAACTGGCAACCTTGCTGCTAAGAGCATGTGCTCTCACCAGCTCAGCGGCAGCTCAGGCGCAGCTCACTGGCCCATGTGGGAATTAAACTGGCGACCCTGTTGCTTAGAGCTCGCGCTCTTAACCAACTGAGCCACACTGCCGGCCCCAACAAATTATTATTATTTTTTAAGATTTTATTGGGGATTTGGGGGAGGGGAACAGTGTTGAGGAATTGGGGAAGGAGACCAGCCAAGTTGTTGTTCTTCAATCTTCATTGTGGAGGGCGCCAGTCGCCATCTGGCTTCCTGTCGGCAGCTGGTGGCCTCTAAACTCAAGGTGCTGAGTTCAGTCTTAGTTGCGGGTGGGCATAGCCCACCATGGAACAGGCAATCTTGTTGTTACACTAGCTGAGCCATCCTGCCACCTGTTGACAGCTCAGCGACAGCTCAGCTCAGGCGCAACGTCACTGGCCCATGTGGGAATCGAACTGGGGGCCCTGTTCCTCAGAGCTCACGTTCTTAAGCCAATTTTTTAAAAATTTTTTTTATTTATTGGGGAATTGGGGGGATGGGAACAGATAAGTTGCTGTCATTTTGTTCTTCAGTCTAGTTGTGGAGGACGTTGCTTCACTGGCCCAAGTTGGCACCATCATTACGCTCTTCTCTAGAGAGGCAGATCAGTCGCCGGCTTCTGGACGGCCGCTCACTGCAGCTGCTGGCCGCTCACGCTGGCTGCTGGCTACATACGGTAGCCCATGGCAA